AATAAAAATTTAAAAAAAGAAATCCAGCTGAGAAAGGAAGGAGAGGTAAGAATGCTGGCCTGGAGGCTGGAGGGTTTGAGAAGGAATTTTTGTTTTGTTTTGAGTGGGAGGCCATGACTAGGTTTAAATGTTGGCCTAGTGATAAGAAGCAGTGCTGCACTTCAGATGGCATTTCTAATCCATCAGCTGCTCCGCAAGAGAAGGATAGGCAATCTTCTCCCAGGCAATTAACTGCCTCTGAAAACCTGTTGGAGGGTCAGCTTTGGGTCAGTTCCAATTTGACTCCACACAATAACAACAACTATATAATAATAACAAAAAAATGTACAGAAAGATAACAGATAATCGGAATAAGAAAAAGTTTCAAATCTCCTGAAATATGGGTTTCTAAGGCCCTTTTGAAACTTCTAAGGGAACACTGGTGGCTTGGCTGGACGGAGTTGTGCTGCTAACTTAAAGGTAATGGTGATCTGCTTATTCAGAAATACCAGCGGCCCTGTGTAAGAGAGATAGACAACTTCCTCTTGTGTGATTTATAGCCACTGAAAACCCACTGGAGGGCCCGCTATGAGGCAGATCCTATTTGATGATGATAAGTTTCCATTTCCCCTACTCCGTTTTTTCAATTCCTGGGGTGATCTTCGGACACTTGAGCAGACTGGTCTTCTAAAAGTCATCTTTAAGTTAAATAATTGTCTTAGTATATTTTTTATATGGTGCAAAGAGGGACGTCATGCTTGGGAAGGTGAAGGGACAGCGCTAGAGAGGAAGACCCTTGATGAGATGAATTGATACAGTGACTAGGGAATGGGAGTAGGTGAGTCAGAGACAGTGCGATTGGCACAGGACAGAGCAGAGTTTAGGGCTGTTGTACATAGCGTCACTATGGGTCGCAGGTGACCCGATGGCACATAACAACAACAAAAACATTCAGTAATAACCATTTTTCCATAGACATTGTGTACTATTTTGAAGAATTATCAATATGAAGTCAGTTTTGAGAGATAGGGTAATCTACAATGGTTAAAGTTCTGTTTAGGGTAACTTATTACACGTAACAAGTTATTATGGAAGCACTGTTCTGACCCCATTTCCATGACAATATTTACAGTATGGAGTACCAAAAAAATAAAATCTTTGGAATATCTCTCTTCTATGGATCATTATTAATACGCTCTCAGAAATATTACCTCCCATGTGTAAATTATATATAAAATAAACTTTAATCCCTAGTATTTCGGTAAAATGTTTTTTAAAAAACATTTGGGTTAACCCAAAGGTTAGTAGTTTGGACCCATTCAGTGAAGGGAAAGTTTGGCAATCTATGTATGTGAGAATTCCAGCTGAGGACGCCCTGTGGCGCCGTTCTCCACTGTAACACACATCACTTATCATGAGCCAGAAACATTTCAATAACAACAGATTTGGTTTGGTTTTTACTATGTACTGAATAATGTTCTAATTATATTTTATAAGCACTGGTCACTGCGAATGGGAAGGGAGAAATAGCAATGGGTCTGAGGTTTACTATACTTAATCCTCTCAGCATCCCTATGAGATAGATTTTTACTGTTCCCATTTTACACATGAGAAAATGTAGTTACGGCATCACAATTTTCTAGTTAGCTAGAACATAGCAAAGTGGAGTTTCCAACTCTGACATTGGATTCAAGTTCATGTACATTTAAACATTAAACCACAGAATGTCATTCATCATTTTACCTGTACCACAAAAAAGTCTTGTTAACTTGCCATTTTTCATTATACCCAAGCCTAAGAAAAGGACAGAAGTTACAGAGCAGCAATCTATAAGAAGCACTAGGACGATCTAATAGTATAAAGGGCAACCAAAGAAAAAAGAGAGAGACTCAGTGTCTTCAGTTCTCAGCCATGCTGCCTCCTACTTATGCCAGATCGAAGAGCTGCTTGCTCCTCAGCGTGTGGCAGTGTCTTGCTACTGGCTGCATAATTGTTAAATGATCACTGACAAAGTGCCAGGCCCTGACTTAAGTGTTTGGGAGATAACAGATAACAGAAGGGACACACAGGTCTCTAGTGGGGCTTACAGTATAACAGTTGAGAATTCTTATTTGTATTTCCTGCTAGGCATCTCTGAAATTGTTAACCTTGATTTTTTAAAGTAATTTTCTCTTATTTCTTCTGCTTTCTTTTGCTCTTATTTCATAGTGTAGACCATGTAGGACAATGTGACATTTTAATGATTTTTTTACAATTTTCAAAACTGCCAATATTTTGTTCTATTTGGGGGAAATGGCTTAAAAGCTAAATCCTTAAAGACAGGCTCCTTGAACCTTAAGGAACACTATGCTGAGTGAAATAAGTCAATAAAGAAGGGTTAAATATCACATGGTTACACTTATATGAAATACTAAGAAGAAGTACATGTTCAGAGACCAAATATATTAGTGGCTATCAAAGGCTGAAGAAGTGAGAAAGGGGGAGTCATTATTAAGAAACCAGAGAGTTCATGTTTGTGATGGGAAATTTGGTGTTGACAATAGTTGACAATCATGTAACATGGTTAATTGATATCACTAGAATTTACACACACACAAAAAAATCTTGAATGTACAAGTATTATGTTACTGACTGAGAGTTTTCAACATATATTCCAAAGATATTATCAATGAATTCTGAGGTAATTCTGATACCTTTTTTTTATGGTTTTTGTTGTTTTGTTTTGTGTTTTTTGTTTGTTTGTTTGTTTTTTGCCTTTTTGTAAATCTTTGTCTTTGCTTATTCAAAACAATACATATAAACTTACAGGTTTATTTTAATAAATATATTTTAAAATCCAAAAAATATACTCCAACAATAAAGAGCTGGATACCTTTACCAGCATTTGTTGCTTACTGTCTTATTAAGCTTTCACTTAAATAATAATTTGTTTCTTTTACTTTTGAAAGAGAAGAGTGAACTGGGGGGGGTGGTGCTGGACGGGGAGAGAAGTGCAGCAATGAATGAATGGAAATCCAAAATCTCTGTAAATGTTCATTAAAATAATAAGAAAAAAATATAAAAAATTTAAACAAATTAAAATGAATTAATCCAGTAAAAAAGAAAAAGAGTTGGACAATATTGACATTTTATTTTTTGCCAAAAATACCTCAACTTGTAGATGATTCTAGATCATCTAGGTTATCCCCGAAAATGGTAAGATTGTCCAGTTAGCAAGTTAGTGAGAGTTGTCTGCACTATCTTTTTCTTTTCTTTTCTTCAGATATTCCAAGGTAACAACTCACTGCTTCCTGAATCTACCTACCGACTTTGGATTAATGTTTTCAAGCCACTGAAGGCTTTAATTTATCTGTAATTTGTTCTCTATTAAAAGAACAAGAAAACCACAAAACTTGAGCTAATCGTTTCACCAAAATTTTCTCTGACAACTTCTTGCCCTCTATGACCTCAAAAATTCTTTTTCCGATTATACCCATGTTACATGAGCCATAATGTGCAAGAAAAATGGGCAATGTTCCTGTGCAATGCACAACCTCAGAAAACTCAAGGACAGTGAGAGAGTGAGTGATACGAGCCAACTCTTTCTTCAAAGGAGTTTTCTACCCATTCTTCCAGGATTTAAAAAAAATATAAATGCTCTCATTTACATAGTCAGTAAACACACAGACATCCTTTTCTGGATTAAGTCAACAACTTCATCCTATAGACTGGTTTTATCCCTTCTTTGTTAAAATTGGGTTTTTATGCCAATTGCTCTTTTAACTGCCTCCAAAATGTAATTCTTATCCTTAATGTCAAAATAGTTGAATAAGACAATCTTTTTCAAGTGCTATGTCACCAATTTCCCCCATTCATTATCAAAGACCTTAATGATCATCTTTGTATTCCCATCTAGATCCTTCCTGATCTTCTTTTTTAGACTGGAACTTTCATTGGTATGACTTCTGTTGTTAATCATTTTGTTGACAGGATATATATTGCAGGAATTACAGTCCAAGCAGTTTTAATAATTTGGCTTATATTCAAATCTGTGGTTTGTAATGGTATAAAAAGCTAAGACCATAATACAGTTCCAAAATATAAGGAAGTAAATATTAGAATCTTAACAATGAAGTTGGAGATGAAATGACACTCAAATGAGTGTGTGTGGTCAGCCATGGTATGTCATTAGTGTTGAAGATTACTGTACGTTCTGTTCATTACAAATCTCAACATAAAATTGATTGCAGTAGAGACCACAGACTGCTTTATAGCAGGGTGGTGAACTGTAAATCCTAAAATGGAACTATCTTTCAACAAATAGTGGAGAATGGTAACTTCAGCAATTGATGAATAACAACACTGTATGTTGCATATATTGCTAACAATAAGATGCAGAAAACAAAACAAACAAATCCCAAAAGACAAAAAATAGTCAAGAGTCCTTCCTTCTGTAGTTCAAATATATTGTAAGTGACAGATTACCCTCACATTTTTATTACTTGTCGTTGGATGTGAACCCTGCCCTAGCCTATGCCATCTCATCACTTCTGACACATTCGAGTCCACTGTTACAGTCACTGTGTCAATCCTTCTTATTGAAGGTCTTCCTCTCCTTTGATGACCTTCCACCTTTTCAATCATGATGTCCTTTTCCAAATACCTCCTAACAAACATGCCCAAAGAATATGAGACCAATTTTCATTATTCATGCCTCCAAGAAGAATTCTGGCTGCACCGCACCACTGGGGCAACATCATGATAAATGGAGAAGAGATAGAAATTATCAGTGACTTCATCTTACTTGGATCTACAATCAAGACCCTTGACACCACCAGCCAGGAAATCAAAGGACATGTGATGGGTTGCATTAGAAAAGTCTGCTGTCAGTGACCTCTTTAAAGTGCCAAAGAGCAAAGATGTCAGTTTATAATAACAATACATTTAAAAGCCATGGGTTCATAGAAACTTTCTGTATGGATTGCTGATGTTGTCTTCCTTATATGGCAGTCAGGAATGAAGCAAGACCGTGTTTTACTTACCAATTCTGTAAATAAGAACTCTGCTGCCAGTAGGGTCCCTGGATCTCAATACCCCAAGGTAGCCTGCCTTCAGAAGGCCAAGGATGCTTCTGGGGTGCAGGTCTGCACTTATTTCTGGACATTCTTCTCTCCACTTATAATAGTTTTTTAGTAACTAAAAATAAGAAAGTAAAATGATAGTTATCAAGAGATGACATTTTCAACAAACGAATGGCTAGAGAAGCTGTGGTATATTCACACAATGGAATACTATGCTGCATTAAAAAACAAGGAACTTATGCAATATTATTCAAAATGGTTGACTCTGGAGAACATTATGCTGAGTGAAATATCCCAGTCACAAAAGGACAAATATTACATGATGCCACTGTTGTAGAATGGGACTGTCCTTGGGGTTGGGGAGAGACTGAGTAAGATGGGTTCAATAATGTATACTGCACTGAAACAGAGGAGGGAGAAAACTGTTTAAAAGAGATATCTAACTAGGTATTTCTGTCATCACAGGAGACTAGAGCGAGGGCTACATGGTGGAGGGGACCTGGGGGAGGGTTTGTAAAACAATGAAAGAATCTTTTCTTTTACTTTTCCATAATTTTTGACTCATGTACTTATAACTTGTTAGTCAAATTTGTGTCTTCTAGGTTGCAACACCCCCATGATACATCTTCAAGGATATGAACATGTACGGCCAAGCACAATCAATAAGAGTGCATCTAAACTCCAAAATCAATCTCCATAATAGTCTATGTGTTTCCTACTGCCAAAGGGGCCCTTTAGAGTAGTGAGAGAAGATCTTCACCCTGAAACCCACAGCGTCCCTTTTCAGCAGGAAGTAGCTAAGAGAATACGCCATCCCCTTTTCCTTATGACTCAGAGTGAAGTCTCTCTCAGGGAGGAGTGATAGGGAATGGCAAAGGACACACTGACAAAGAAGATTAATCAGAACTGGCTTTGACAAGCACTGTGGCATTTGGACAAGAATAAACTGGGAGGAGGGTAGAGAGAATAGTGCAACAATGAATGAATGGAAACCCAAAATCTCTGTAAATGTTTATGAAAATCAATAAAATATAGAAAAAAAAAGAGATGACATTTAACCTACAACCAGGAAAAAACCAAATAGATAAACGAGACTTTCTAAGAATCAAATCCCTATGCACATAAAAAAATTTCTCTAGCAGGATATAAAGGAAAGCCACAGACTGGAAAAAAATATTTGGTAATGACATTTCTGATAAGGGACTCATATCTAAAATTCATAGCATGCCAAGCACCTCAAAAAGAAAATGGTAAACAACCCAATCACAAAATGGACACAAGCTATGAACAGATACTTTACCAAAGAAGACGTTCAGATGGCAAACAGACACATGAAATGTTCAAAATCCCTAGTTATCAGAGAGATGCAAATAAAAAAAAAACACACTATGAGATATAATCTCACCCCAGCAACAATAGCAAAGTTCAACAAAGCAGCAAACAATAAATGCTGGTGAGGTTGTGAAAAGATTATATGCTGCTGGTAGGAGTGTAAAATGATTCAACTGCTATACAAGGTGCTTTTGTGCTTTCTCAAAAAGTTCAAAATAGAAATACCATTTGACCAACCAATGTCACTATTGGGAATAAACCTTAAAGAAACAGGACCACCATCTAAACAGATAAATGCACACCATGTTTATTGCTGAGTTATTTAAAATAGCAAAGGGATGGAAGCAATCCAAGTACCCATCAATAAACAAATTGATAGATAAACTATAGTATATGCATACAATGGACTACTTACTACACAGCACTGAAAAACAATGAACTTGTAAAACATTACATAACATGGTAATTATGCTGAGTGAAATATCTCAGTCACAAAAGGACAAATACTGCATAGCACCACTTTTATAAAGCAGCACTGACATGGGGTGTGGGGGGAGGAGTTGGGAGGAGACTAGGATAAGAGTATATAGATAATGAACATTGCATTGGAACAGATGAAGGAAATAATTGCTTAAAAGGAATATATGATTAGGCATTATACATGTGACCACAGCCCAGAATAAGAGGTACATTGAAAAGAGGACTTGGGGGAGGGAGGCAATTGTGCAACAATGTATGAATATTTAAAAAACAAAAAAACGATCTGGAGGAAGAAGAAGTGAGGAAAGGGGGTAAAATGTACAACAATGAATGAATGAAAACCTAACTTTCCCATAAACTTTCATTAAAATCACAATTAAAAAAAAAATTTAAAAAAAAAAATCACAATTAAAATAAAAACTTTAGTTAAAAAAAAGAGATGAGGTTTAGCATAAGTGGTAAGCATTATATAAATAAGGTTTTAAAAACCCCAACCTTAGCATTACATATAATAAACCTTGATATGTAAGGACTTTATTCAGGTTTCTTGTTGTGAAACCAAAAATTATAGGAATTAATCCCAAATTCCAAGTTATTTTGCTTTAACACCTGTGGTAAAACATCTAAAAAAGTGGCCTCCAATAATACCTCAACTCTTAGCATGCCATTCTCTCCATCATGAGGTGGAGATTCTTTTCTCATTGGATCTAGGCTCACTCTGTGCCTGGCTTTAACTAACAGAATGTGACAGATGTGACACTGTGTCACTTTAAGGACTAACCTAATGAAAATGTATGACAACTTCTGGTTTTGCTTTTCTGGGAATCTAGAGACCATGCAATAGATCAGGTGATAATAAGGAACTCATGTGATAAGGATGAGAGACCCCTTGGATAGTCTTATTCCTGCGAGGTTCCCAGCAAACTACGCTGAGCAGAGAGGAACCATGCTGGTTGACTCCTGCCACACTGCAAAAAAAAAAAAAGCAAGCAAATAAATAGTTAAATTTTAAGTCACTAAATTTCAGGGTGATTTGTTACTCATGACAGAGGCAATGCTTTAACACTATTGTTAATAAGGAAAAAATAGAATTCAAAACATGAAAAAAAATCCCCTTATGTCATTGCCCAATTTATGTAGAAATTGTCAAATGGCAGTATAATTTTCCACGTAAGCTTTCACTTAGACGAAACATGATAAAATATTAACTTTCAAAAATATTAATAAGAAAATAATCTACAATGTTCTACGCATTGTTTTAGGCACTCAAGTTGGAGTATTAAACAGACTAAAATCTCTGCTCTCACTGAGGCTTGCTCTTTTGGCAACAACTGGATCCCATGGACCGTTGTCTCAAACTACTTCTTGAAATCCAACAACTCTGGCTGTGTCATTCTTTCTGTGTGATCTTGGATATCAAACTCCTTTGAGGATTGTTCCTTCAAATATAAAATGGAGATATTGATATCATCCTTGGGGAGTTACATGAAAGTATATTTGGCCATGAGCGATAGTTAAAGCTTCAACTAGTATAATGGGGGTTCCAGAGCTAACTTAAATGCAAAATAAACACTTGCTAAGCGTTTTATTAACAAAGAAACACTGAAAATTGGCTTTTATGATTACAGTGATACGCATACAAAAAGCCTCAGGAACCATGTCTGAAGAAGATGGCAGCACTATGGCATGAGGAGGACAAGTCATTATTAATGCTGATTTGCTTCTCACTCTCTTCCCCAGTCTCTCTAGTTTCTGCATTTAATAAACTTTAACTAAATTAAAAAATAAAGTGTTGCTAAGAGTTAAATGCAATAGTGTGGTAAGATAGAAGTCAGTAAATCTGCCAACAAAGAAATAATTGGTGACCTAAATAGAGTTTCCAAAAGCAGCAAGGACAAAAGACACATTGTAGATTCTGATACATCCATTCAGTTCTAGAAAAAAGTTTTAGGGTCGCTCCATCCCTGGCTTAGAGGGTATCAGAAATACTTACAATGCTAACTATTTTCTGATCACTTCCTTAGATGTAAATACAATCCTTTTAAAATGGTTTAGGAAAGACCAAAAGTAGCATACTAATTTGCTACAAAAATAATGGTCATTATTTCTACCTGGAATATTAAAATCTGTGTCTTCATTACAAGATAGCCTTTTAAAAATGTCATTGTAATTACTTCATTCATTTCTGTAGAATGCTAGTGACTCAGGAAATGTGTTTAATGAAAGACTGGGTTAAAGCATTAATAAAACAACTGGATCCATACACTTGGGAAAATGACTTTTGGAAAAATGCACAACTCTCATGTCTTTAGCAGTTAACTTTTGCAAACTAAAAGACATAAGCATGAATATTTGATAATTTTTCTACTGACAAATATATTTCATTCCGGTCCAGTTGATGTAAAAAGGTTATGGAAATAAAGTGGTATTGATAGATTCTCAGGTCTAATTAAATGTCCACAATTGGTTACAAATGAATATTCTTTATTGGAAGATGCTTGTTTAGTACAACTATTGTTACAATTTTTAGGTGTAAGGAAGTTCCAACTCATAAAATCTCTACATGTCACTGTGGTTGTTAGTTGCCATCGAGTTGAGTATGACTCATGGCGACCCTATGAACAGCTGACCTAAAACCTGCCCTATCCTGTGCTAGCCTCATGATCTCTGACACACTAGAGCCCATTGCTGAAATCACATCAATCCATCTCCTTTGTTCACTTTCCATCTTTCCAAACACAATGTCCTTTTCCAAGGAATAACCTCACCTAGCTACACTCCAAAATATGAAAGACAAAGTTCACCATCTTTGCCTCCAAGGAACATTCTGGCTGTACTTTTTCTAAGACCTGTCTCTTTGTTCATTTGGTAGTCCAGGGGATGTTCAGTACTCCTCTGCAACACCATAACTCAAAGGCATCAATTCTTGTGTCATCCTTATTCATTGTCCAGCTCTACAAAGAACAGAATAGTGCCCAATCCTGTTCCATGCTCATAATCATTGCTATGATTGAGCCTATTGTTACAGCCACTGTGTCAATTCATCTCCTTGAGAATGTTCCTCTTTTTTGTTGATCCTCTGCTTTGCTAAGACCGTGATGTCCTCCTTCAAAGACTGGCCTCTCCTGATAGCATGCCCAAATTACATGAGACAAATTCTCACCACCGTCACTTCTTAGGAACATTCTGGTGGTCCTACCTCCAAGATACAATTGCTTGTTCTTCTAGCAGTTTGTAGTATATTTAATATTCTTCAACATCATCATAATTCAAAAGTATCAATTCTTTAGTTTTCTTATTCAT